AAAAAAAAAAAAAAAAAAAAAGATGAGGCTTTTGGGTCATAATTAGCAAAGGTGCCACATTTCCAATGTTTTTGTACTAAATGCTATCAACCAATGAAGTCTGCTTTAATATCTAAATCTCTAAGCTTTTTGGTATCATTTGGCTTTTACAATAATCATTTTTACACAATTTTATGATCTTTTTAAACTAAAAAATTAAAAGTGATCTTACCTTTTCCTTTCCTGGCAAACAACATTATAATGAATGGAAAGTGTACATGTGTGGCAGGCACTTTATTATCCTAGACTTCCTCTCTAAAAGCCCCCTGCATGATGCTGTCCATACTCTGACTCCATCCCACGCCTCCTGAAGAGCTGGGCTGAATTATGAACTAGGAATTGGCCAATCATGTCACTCTGTGTCCACCTGACTTATCTGGTGTCTACAATGGGCCAGTAAGGAAGAGAATAACTTCTTCATGGCTCTCAAGAGCTACACTGTCATGAAGATCAGCAGAAAGTAAATAAAACCCACAGTCTTTTCCACGTTACGAAAGCCCCCTCATGGAGACCCACCTCCCAGGAGCGCCATTGGTCCGGACACAGAGGCCAATCAGTGCTGGCTGCTGTCACAGCTTTTCCGGCAGAGAATGGGTCCCCTCCCTGATGGACAAGCCCGGACCTGGCCCTCACTGACCCGAGTAATGAGGGGGCTCAGGCGCTGCTCCTTGGGACTATTTAGACCCCCAAAGCTTTTTCAAAATTCCATTTTAAGAGGCCTCACAATATGGCACATCTGTTGCAGTTTCCTAGCTGATCAAAGGGCTGAGAAATGCCCCTCAGGGTGCCCTCTGGAGAAGAGGGCTGCGTTTCACTCTGCTCGAGGTGAAAGGCTCCACTTCACATAAACAACCCAACTTGTCACTCATGATCTCCATTTTCCTTCCAGAGAGAAAAACCTTCAGAAATAATTCATGCCAAACACCTTCCAAACATTTGTTTCTTTCACAAGGTAAAACCGAACTAAGCACTAAACACTGACTCTGAAGGTCCTGGAGGGCTGCCCGGAGAGCACTCTTCGACTTGTGCTAGAGACCTGCCCTCCGTCACCCATCCAGTTGCTTCTCTCTTTTCCTTGAGTAGCCAGCTTGTGCTGCAGCCCAGACAAAGGAGGCGATTGCCCCAGAACGCTTCGCTATTGCAGCAGAGCTTTTGTGCATCTTCAGTGACCATTAAAATCTCATTCTCAAATTCCACACAGCTGTTTTCTCCTCTTAAAAAAAAAATAGGAGAAAGCTTTTCTGATGCAAAAGGGGGAGACCAGCGGGGACCAGGATTAATGGTGAAAAAGAGGCCTAAAGCCTCGCCCTCCTTTCAGCACGATGGCCTTTGAGTATTTCAGGCTGTGGACAAACACTATGGCCTCTCTGTGGCTAAGATGGTGAACTTATAAAAGGGGTCACTCTCTAGCATCTACTGTTTTCTTAAGAATCATGCCTTGACTTCTGAAGGACAAGCAGCCCACTGGGATTCCCAGGGTGCCCTGGGGCTGCCACTTTGTCCCAGCTGGGGGGCAGTAGCACCCGGGGCAGTGCTGTGGCCTCAGGCTCTGGTTTGAGCGCCCCCCCCCCCAAGGATTGCAAGACAAGAGCGACAGTGCCTCTTTGGGCTCAGAAGTTGATTTTTCATTGTCTGTCTGGGGTCTGGTGTGGGCTCAGATTTGCTATTTGAAAATCTTTTAGTTGGGGCAGAGAAATGAGCCCAGCTAGGCGTCTTCCATGCGGGTTCCCAAGTGTGTGCTGTGTTCCCTACATGCCTTTAACTGCAGCTAAAATCTCACTTCCCTTAGAGCGTCTTTTCCCCCCTCTATTTAAGTATTTCCCGGAAGATTTGCACTTTTCCCTCTTTGCATGTTGTCGGCTGTCCGTGGGATTTCATCTGTCATTGCTGGGAAGATGTGTTCACTCATTCGTCGTAAATATTACTAAGCATAGAGCAGTGCCTGCCGGCTGCTGCTCTAGGAGCTGGAGAAGCAGCAGGGAAGATGACAGACATGTCCCAGCCTTAACAGGGCCCTCACTGTCATGGAGAGCATGGACAGCAAACGGGCAAACAAGCAAACACATAGTAGAACATCAAGCAGTGGGTGATGTGATGAGGGTTAGGGGAACAAGGTAGGGGACAGAGTGGCAGGTGAGGCTGTTTCAGACCAGAACGGAATGCGGAAAACAGCCTTGCGGTGGGATTGCCCGACAGCCAAAGAGGTCTGTGACCCAGGGATGTGGTGTAGGGGCAGGTGCCAGGAAATGCGTTTTAGAAAACAAGCGATGGCCAGATCACACTGGTTCTTAATGGCTACAGTAAGAAAACTGGGGCTTATGCAAAGCATGTTCGGGTTCTGCCTGGGGAGCATTGTGATATCTCCCAGTGATCCTCTGCGTGGAGAGCAGACCGAAGGCAAGCAAGCGAAAGCAAGCAATGAGAGCCGTCACACAGACCGAGGACAGGAGGGAGGCTTGTAATGATGAAGAGGAAACTGTATCAGAAGGCAAAGATGCCAGCGGGCTGGGTAAGAAGCATAGCAACAGAGAGGTCAGGAAGACTGAGGTTTTTGGTGTGTGCTGCTGGGTAAACAGAGGCCCCATTTACTGAGAAGAGGGAGAAGCAGGTTCGACTGTGAGGGAGGAGGACACACGGAGTCTGAGGTGCCTGTTGCTACTGTTGGTTATCCACATGCTAATACAGAGAAGGCATGATTGCCTGCCGGGCTCCTACTCCTCAGGGCTTACAAAATGATCTGACATGGCCAGGCGTGCTGACGTGTGCCTGTAATCCCAGCACTCTGGGAGGCTGAGGCAGGAAGGCTGCAAGTTCAAGCCTTGGCAACTAAGCGAGACCCTGTCTCAAAATAAAAAGTTTTATAAAGAGGCTAGGGATGCAGCTCAGTACAAAGGTCCTGGGTTCAAACTCCAGTACCGCCACAAAAACATTTTTTTAAAAAAGAAAGAAGGAGAAAAGAAACAAGATACGGTTTGCTGGGCGTGGGCCACACATTCTTGGATCTATGTATATTCCTTTTTACCTAATAGATAAGAAACAAAGCCAGATTAAGTCTACTGTGTAACACTCCGTCCACCTCACAGGATGCATGTGAGGGGAAAGGTCTCTGAGAAAAGAGAAGGCAGGCAGCCCACAGCCCAGGGTGTGCAGACACT